TCATCAATGTAGCGCAAGTAGAGTAGGGGCGTTAGGGGACGAGAGCTAAGGAAGCGTTGTTCTAAGTCAGCCATAAAAATGTTGGCATATTGTGGGGCCATGCGGGTACCCATAGCAGTGCCGCTGACTTGAAGGTATATATTGTCTGAACCTGTAAAAAGCAACAGAGGGTCCTGTGGCACCTTTAAGACTAACAGAAGTATTGGGAGCATAAGCTTTCACTTCTTCAGAAGAAGTGAAGTTCTTACCCATGAAAGTTTATGCACCCAATACTTCTGTTAGTCTTAAAGATGCCACAGGACCCTCTGTTGCTTTTTACAGGTTCAGACTAACACGGCTACCCCTCTGATACTTCACAGACGTTGACTCCATGAGCAGGCAGCAGCTACCCCAGGGGAGACACCATTGCTCTGCCATGCCATACATCAGCACTTTAGGGAGCAGGGCCAAAAGGAAGGTAGAAATCGTGGGGGGGGGGGGGGGGAACAACACATGACTCTGTGTCCCCCCATTGCCCCATGCATTGCCTCTGATTGGGGGTCTGCAGGTTTGTCTATTTAAGTTTAGGGGCCCTGGAGTAAAAAAGAGGTTTTGAACGACTGCTGTAGATTACTAGTCCCAATTCAGACCCATGAGCTGTGTGATACTTGGAAACTGTTGTCTAGCTTGTAAGATTGCACTGGGACCATACAAAGGTAACAATGAGAACTCCTTGATTTTCATCATAGTGCTGCCCATGAGTCTGGGATCAGGAGGAGGTAATTGAAGTATTAATTTTAGGGTACTCACAATTTTTTTAAATGTATGTGCAGTGCCTCTCTCGCTAACTGCCACCAGTGTCAGCCCTGCAGAATAATGTGTATGCAGGAGAGTGATGACAAACTTTCAATATAATAAAGCATTTGGGGAACAGCACATGCTACTATTAGTAAATTGTGTAGATAATTAAAATACATTTACTAGGAAACTGAAACTTAAGGGATATGTAGAAGCTGAAGATGGTACTAAATGCTTGCATATGCAGTTTTGTTTTGCCTTAAATAGTGTGTGTGCAGGAGCACTCCTCCTACTTAGTTCAGGGATCTCAAACTCAAATCACCACGCGGGCCACATGAGGACTAGTACATTGGCCTGAGGGCCGCATTACTGACACCTTTTTCATACAAAGATACAAAAGCCCCACTCCCCCCATGCCCCTGGCCCTGCCCCCACTCCACCCCTTCCATGAGGCCCCGCCCCTGCCTTGCCTCTTCCAACCCCTTCCCCAAAGTCCCTGTCCCAACTCCGCCCCCTCCCTGCCCTTATTCCAACCCCTTCCCCAAATCCCCACCCCAGCCCTGCCTCTTCTCCGCCTCCTTCCCTGAGCGCGCTGCGTCCCTGCTTCTCTCCCCTCCCTCCTGGAAAGTCCTAAGCGCCGCCAAACAGCTGTGTGGCGGCGGGAAGCGCTGGGAGGTAGGCAGAGGAGTGGGGATGTGGCGCACTTGGGGGGACGGAGGTGGGAGGTGAGGGGAGCTATGGCGGGCCTCAGGAAATAACTCCGCTGGCTGCGTGTTTGAGACCCCTGCTTTAGTTTGTATATGCTGAGCTTATTGTACATACCAGGGGCTCTTTGCATCCCTGCATTCCCCCCACAAGCTCCTTTATGCCACCCCTCCCATCTTCTCTCTTTCCCCCCCCTTCCCTGGACACCTTGCAGCTTCCCGTCTCCTTGTTGGGGGGGAGATGGAGGGACCTCAGAAGGAGGGACACAGAGCCCCTGTCATCGAGGGCATAGCGGGTGAGTGGGATTGACAG